AATAAAAAAAAAAAAAAATAAAAAAAAAATGTGTGAGTAAAGAAAAGTATGAAAGCCTTGGAACACATAATATATATAGAGAGAGCATATATATATATATACAGAACAGTTAATAGGTGAGGTGTAGCTTAATTTTGCATACATAAATATTAGTATGTAACGTACATAAACATGTTACTATACTTAGTGTTCACAGGTATGTGTAGACATACAGGCTATGTTAAACTCACCATAGCACCATACTTTGGTGGGGGAAAAAAAAAAAAAAAAAAAAAAAAAAAAATATATATATATATATATATATATATAAAATAATAGATAGGTTAATAAATTAGTAAAATAAGATAAAATAAATATATAACATAAATAAATAATATTTTTAACACGACCAGGCATAATCACAGCTTGAGATTATTCAAGACAATTAGCTGTGTGCATAATGTTAGTTCATTTATTATTCTGAGGTCGATGTGGAGTGTTCCTGGCTCTGTTGGTAAGACGTCTGGGAATGTTCAGAGAGGTCTCTATTTTGGATCTGAGGTTAGAGGCGAACAAACGCGTACCCTGGTCAGACAGGTGATATCTATCATCAGCCAAAAGGTGGCCTTGAATGTTTCCATTACGGAGAAAGTTTGAATTGTCGCAGAAATGTAGGTTGGGGGTGTTACTTTTGCTGATTTCCTGTTTGATAAGAGCATTGCAGATCTCAGTTTTGGTGTTGTGTTCAACGCTATCCCCGCGGGGTGGTCCCAATGAAATCACAACTTGGGTATGTGGGTTCTTGGTTGCTTGTGTGCTGGCAAGCCTAACCATGTTGTTTGCTACATGGAAGGTGGAGGCTGTCCAAATTTCTATTGGATAACACTAGTTTTGATGGACAGGTGCCTTTGGTCACCTGACTTGTAATTACCTTAATTGTACTTAATTATGCCCGGTCTCCAGTGGACTTTCTACTTCAAGAGACAGATAAACTGCTACATCCTGGAGTTACATACTGTATAGACTCATGCAAGAGTTAATTACTAGTGTAATGTTGCACAAGTGCAATTAACCGGTTTGGCTAGATGCCGATCTGGCTGGCAAGTTTTCTTGTCCCAATCATCTGCCACATGGAGTGGTCACTTGTTAATTATTGTGCCAAGTATCTCTGTTAAACTGATTGTATCTGAAACCTGTTTACCTTGCTTTAGCCTGCACACCTGCATATGCATGCTTAATACAATGAACTATCAGTCTTCAGTACTTGTATATATTAAACAATAAATTGGAATTGATCTAAAATATAAATTTGTAAATAAATGATCTAACAAATCTGTGGGTTATTTTGTTCATAAGGCCTAATAAACTCAGTGACAAGCTTCATCTATAGTCAGTTGATGAAAAGCAGAACCATACTGGTCCGGAAGGGGGGGGGGGGAGGAGAGGGAGGGGGGAAGGGCAGTCTGTTTATTGGAAATGGCACATACACAAGAGTGCACATACACATGGCCCTAGGCTGAGAAAAATGCTGGGCGGGATGGGCAAGATGACAGATCATATCAATTTATTAATGTTTTTATGTACAAATATGACAATTAATTATTATTATTAGTAGTAATGGTTAGTTGTTATATCACACATGGCTGTCACAAAGAAGAAAGATGAAAAGACATGCCCCCCCAATACAGCCCACTGCTCTTTTCCTGTTTCTTGTAAATAAAACATGAAATCTTGCAAATAAAAACTAATTATCACAAAATTATAATAATGATGTACAAATTCAGTTTGATGATAGATAACAGAGATTTTCATTTTATACTGTGTATCAATATGACAAATAATTATCATCTTACCTTATTTTCATAAATTCAGGATCCAAAAGCAGTGCCAAGAGAATTAAATGTGAAGGTATGTGTTATTCACTCATTTGAACTATGTTACATGTAAATGGTAATGATTTCTTGGTCTTGGTATACATATAAAATTGGGGTTAACATAATCATCACAATCCCATTCAAAGTACTTTTTCTCTGTAAGAATTTTATATCATTTAAGATTTCAGATAAATGTTATGGCATTTCATATGAGCTATACCAATAAACATTTCTCCTTTTTTTTTTTTCATCATGTATCTTAAAATTAGATGGTATTGCCTCAGATCCTGAATCTTGTGAAACACAGTGTGACACGTGTCCATTGGAACAAAGTGTCATTAGTGAAGGTAATTTTTTGCAGATAAAAAAAAAAGTTAATAGAGTAACAAAGTGTAAAATTTTAAACTGATGTTTATTTTAATTACTTTAATCCTTTTATGTTGAACTTATCTGAGAACAAAAAATATACTGACAGTCAATGAAAACGCATCAGAAAACTCTCTTGTACTTTTTTACCTAGAATCCATTCCAACCATATAAACGAGTACAAATGCACTTGTTTGGTCATAAGAGAGTGGGCTGACCACTCGGATGTTTAAAATTTCCGCTTCAGTGATTTTGTGATCACCTGTTACAAAATCATGTTTTTCCTGTCTCCTGATTTGTGTGAATTAACCAGGTTCAATATATGGTGATTACATAAGCCTATTTAAAGTAGTCACCAAATCCAGTATGACACACGATAAAAAAGTTCAGCGATGCCAGGTGTAGTGATCCGTTAATTAGAACTGAGTCTTCTAAATTTGCATACATCAGATATGTATATATTTGTACGTTTTAATTATTCAAATATACTTAGACATGACATGTTGCATGGCAGTTTAAGAGAAGTTCATTTAAAATGCAAATCAAGGTTTAATTTAAATGTATCTACAATTAAGTTAATGTACATAGGCATGGCATGTTTCATGACAGTTATGAAAGCTAATTTGAAATGCAAATTAAGATAGAGTATAAAGGCAGTGACTGAGCCACAGAGACTGGGAGACTTACAGACTGAGAGAGTTAGAGCTAAGATCTAATAAACAGGTATATTAGATCTTAGGTTAGAGATAGTTATAGATATGGTAGAAGAGACCTGAGTCTTCAGGTGCTTGAATAAACCATGTAACCGAAAACTATACCTGCCTGTCTCAGTTGACTTATTGGTGAAAAGGTAACTCTAAGAACAAGTGTATAACCACTGTCTGGTTATTACACAGGTCTGACACTAGAAGAGCGACTGTGGGCCCTGGGGATGCTGGAGGCTGGGCGGTACCAAAAAGATTTGATCATGTGACCTTGCATTTTAATGATCTTTTCTGACCTTTATTTCACCTTGTGTGACTGAATAATAGGACATATTTCACATGAAAACTGCTATTTTCTTAATGCGCCAAAGGAACTTAAAATATTATTTGATAAATAAATGATGCATTTTCTTGACTGTCAGTATATAAATTTTTGTTTTTAAAAGATAATTGCCATTATTTAATGTGTCCAAAATAAGTCTCATCTCATACTCTCTGATGAACCTTGCTTCCTGTCAACCATTCCAACAAAGATTTGAATCACGTACAACCTGAAGACTGAGCTGAAAGTCAATGTTGGACTTTGTACAACCCACTCTTAAATGTAGGTTACAGGCAATTTAAGTTCCTTGGATCATTACAGCATTATGGTCAGTGTCAAGAAATGAACATAAATGGTTAGTTAGTTGTAAAAAAATACCATATACCACAGGAAATTTTGTTAAGCATGTTTTTTTTCTTTCTTTTCTTTTTTTTTTTTTTGCAAAAAAAATCTTACACAGTTCATTTTCATCTTTAAATAATGATATTGACAAATATCAAATTGAGCAACAATGAATTTTGTCAGTTCAGAAAATATATATAGATGACTTGTAATGTAATCTTCATTTCCAGAGAGAAGTTCCCTCAGCTACAAGATTTTTCGCAATTGCAGCAAAATAAGAAAACGGCGATATGAACAATCTGACAGTGATGAAGAGCTAACAAAAACACTAGAAGAGATGGAGAACATAGCCATGAAGCTCAATAAGCCTTTAAAGATCAAACAAGAGAATGCTTCAAAGGATGACAAGAAAAACATCCACAAGGGAAATGGTACAAGTTTCTTTTTCTTTTTTTTTTTCAAAAGTTTTTACTTAAAAATTGGATATCTGTGATAGCAAACAATTATAACAAGATCATTTACAAGTACGGTATATATTCTTAAGGATATGTATAGGGGAGGTGGCTATCTTCTTTTAAGAAGTTATAAGTGACAAAGATGTAACTACCGGTAGATATACAAGTTGCATATCAATATAAAGCATATTTTAACAGCTTTCATTTAATATCCTTATTTTATACAGTAATAGTTATGTAAGGAGATACAGCACTTAATAGGCTTTCTTATCCTGATCTTTATACCCTAATACTAAAACTCCACTGCAAATGAACATGTGTAGACAACATGGTCTGATAGCCCCCTTGAGCATCAACAGAGATGTTTCTCAAATTCTTAATATGCCTTTTTACCAAAGATATCCAGATATATATAGTTGCTATATGGAAGGAGAGAAAGAGTTTATTTTCTCAGTTCAATAATTGGTTGGTGTTGGTGGTGAGAGCAGGAGTCACGCTGAATTGCCTGACCTGGAACACCTTAACTACTGAGCGGTGCGATAAATTGAGAAAATACTGAGATAGATACTTGAGTTAGGTTATCAATTTTATAAAGTCGCCATGGAAGGATGTCCATTTCAGTGAACTTTCCCCACCACCCAAATAATTTGTTCTGTGGAGAGGACAAGAGTCATGGTGAGAGTTGGGGTGACAGTGTAAGGCAATTTATTCACAAAGCAAAGTTCTGTAGCTGTGGGCAATGGAGCCACATGAGCTGGCTGTACATATAATAATAAT